ATAAATTTCCTTCCTGTGCTGTTCAAGAACAACTTCTCTTTTAGCTCTTCCAATAGATATAACTTCTTTGTTGAAGATCATGAAAAGTCTGTTTAGGAGGATGTTGTGGGAATAACGGCATAGTGATCTTGGTGATAGCACTGGGTATAATACATGAATCCTTTGCAATATTTTGACATGTTTACATGCAATAGGACAGAGTCTAGGATCAGAGTGAAATCTCTAAATGCATGTGCTTTCCAGTTGACAATTTATGTGGAGGGAGATGATGTGTCCCCATGGGAATGGACCAACATGCATGTTAAAGCTAGTGGCAGTAGGGATATCTTTTTTCTTTTTTTGGTACCGGGGATCGAACTCTGGTCCTTGCACTTGCGCAGCAGGCGGAGAAACCACTGAGCTAAATCCCCGGCCCGGGGATATCTTTTTTCAAGGAGTTCAGTGATTTCTCAAAGTTTGGCTAATCTAAATTTAAGGATGCTTTTGTTTTTTTTAACCCCTCCAGAAGATTGTGGGTGGTAAGGATGGTGTCATTTTGGTAAAAATTACAGATTTTTATAATTTTGTATTTGACTACAGGGTAATGCCTTGCAGTGCTTGCATGAAATGTGTGTCTTGATCACTTGTTATAAAATTTTTGTTTTGCTTCAGGTTGAAAATATAAAATGTGACTGTAAGGGCTAGGCTAGAAATTTTGGCAAGGAAATGCTGCAGACAACCCAGAAAATAGATATACAATAACCAAAACATTTTTTGAAGAGTCAATTTCAGCCAGGCATGGTGGTGCATGGTTGTAATCCCAAGACTCCAGAAGCGGGAAGCAGGATTGGCACAAGTTTGAGGCCAGCCTGGGCTACAAGGTGGGTCAAAGTGAGTGCTATGGAATACATAGCAAGACCCTGTCGCAAAAAAAAAAAAAAAAAAGTCCACTTCAAAGTGGAGAAAAAGTCACTGAGTTTTTGCTTCTGAGCCATGTCCCACTGTAGATTTCCAGTATTATGTTGTTGACAACACATGACCTCAATGTAAACCCAAATGCCTTTTTAAAAATTTCCCAACCAATGTTGATTTAATTTGTGTATACCATGATGAGGGGTTTTATGGAGAATTTCAATTTTCATTTGAAGTCATCTGATGCACCAAGCAAATGTTTTAGGAGTTTCAGAGATGATCTAAGTAAAAAGTACAACCAGATTTCCCCCATTCTTTCTTTTCAAGGTCTGGGACCAAACATTGCTATTTTGTATCAGTTTCTCTTTTTAGTTTTGTTTCATTGTATTTTTTTTACTACATGTTTGCAGTATATGATGATTACATCTGACAAGGGGAGTTGGTACGTGTACACACATGGTAATTCCTTTTTTATGGCCCCTCTCCCTGTTATCTCTCAGAGATCTAACCTTGGTACCTTTGTATGGTTAAAATTTATTATTGGTTAAGGCTGCTTATTTGGCACAATGAACTGTCATATTTTTTGGCTTCCATTTCATCTCTTTCTGCATGAGCCTTTACCTTTATATGTCCACCAACCTAAGAGATAGGATTGCACCTTTACTTGATCTTAGCTAAAGGGCCCAGAAGCAATAGGAGTGCATTTAAAAGTTCCTTAATTTCTTGTTCATTTTAGATGTGAGTACTGGTAGAGATGAGAAGCCACCCCCACCCCAAAACATCTTGAAGTCATTCTCAGAACATATTTTCTGAATACTGTTCTCCGAGCCTACTTGCCCTCTGAATATGTTTACTCTCTGGTCTTCCACTACCTAACAAGCTCTAGCAAGTGCAATGTCTTCTGGAAATGGGATTATTATTACCTCAGGTAGAGTACAACATTTCAGTGGTTTTTTTTGTTTTTGTTTTTTCATTTTTAAGGTCGGTCTCACTATGTTGCCCAGGCTGGTCTGGAACTCCTAGGCTCAAATGATCCTTCTACATCAGCCTCCCCAGCAGTTGGGACTACAGCCTGTGCCACTATGGCCAGGTGAAGGCTGACATTCTAAAAGACAGCTTCAATTTCTGCTAGAATATCCTGTTTAAGAACTTCCAAGTTCAATTTTGAGACATGAATCAGTGACAGATAATATTAGGTCAGGCTTCTTAAGGGATTCTCCAGGTCTGACCGAGGTACAGAAAGTTGCTGAGCTGAGTTAAGATCCTTATGAGGCTCCTTTTCTAGGACTTGGCATTGTAGTGGTGAATGTAATTTCAGAGGAAAAGTAACAATATCATAAGAAGTAAATCTACTGGCTGAAAAGTGTTGTGTATTCTCAGTCAGTAGTGATGTCCGTATTGGGGACCTTGAAATCAAGCAGGAAAACTAGATCTGGCTCAGCTGAAGGTCTTCTTTCTTTCTTTCTTTTTTGGGACTCAGGATTGAACTTGGGTCCTTGAGCTTGCACAGCAGGTGGCGAAACCACTGAGCTAAATCCCCAGCCCTCTCTCTCTTTTTTTTAATTAGCAGCAGCTATTACCACAGGACAAGGGATATAACCCTTTGCAACCAGCTCAAGAGTAAGGCTATGTATAGTAAGACATAGGTTGTTTTTTTGTTTCTTGGCTAATGAAGTGAAATGATGGCCATGGAGAAAAAAAGGGAAGAAATCTATTACTGTATTTTGCAATAATTGTAGTCGATTGGTTATAAACACCACTACATTTGGATCAGCCAGCTGTAGGTTTTTTGTGGTTCCCATGAAGTTAAAACCTTGAGGACTTATCCAGATCACTTCTGCACAAATAGACAACAGGGGTTTTGTAGTTGTAGTGCCCAGTGAAGGAAGTGGTTGAAGAACTTTATTTGACATACAGAAGGCTTGTCCCATGACTAGATCCCCAAAGAGAAGGTCTCTTCCCGAGGACTTTGTCAATTCATAAAGAGATGTTGCAATCTCAGAAAAATTTGTCTGCAATATCCAGTTAAACCTAGAAATCCTGTCAATTGCCATTTTGTGGGAGGTCTAGGATTAGTGTGATGGTCTGTAGTCTATCAGGAATGGCTATATTTTTCTGTCTTTAAATATGCCTTGTCCAAAATAATGGATTATGCTTTAGAAAAGTTATAATTTATTAAACTTTATGTCAGGGATAGGAGTGTAGTTGGTTTCCATCCCCAGCAATATAAACAAAAACCAAAACAACCCCACACAACACAAAGCAAGACAACACACATACACAACCCTTTACCCTTTATGTCCCTTTTGTAAGGCCAAAAGCAAGTAAATGGAATTACTTATTTGCCAAACTTCTTGTTCTATGAGTAAAGTAGGGAATCATCTACATATTGTAACCAATCTGAATCATAAGAGAAACTTCTATCTTTCAGGACTTGCTTGAGGAACTGGGAAAAGTTGACAGGGCATCCATAAACCCCTGGAATATGGCTGTCCAGATAAATTATTATCCTGTCCAGCAGTTCGAAAGATATCAATGGACCTGGATGCAGTAGAGAAATACATTGAAAAGGGCAGTGCAAAGATATACTACAGTGAAGCAAGTCGCTTTGAGCAGAATTGATGGCAAGATGGTATTTGGGTTAGGTACTACATGAAGCAAGAAGCAAAAGTTTGTTGCTTGTCCTGAAGCTTTGAAAAATATCCTCATCCATTTGGTTTCTTCACTGGTAAGACAGGAGTGTTCAAACATTTTGACTATAAGGCCTTCAATTACACTTGTAGCTTTGAGTGTTTCCTTTGCTCTGTCTTTAAGGATATTTGGATGTTTGAGTATGTCTACTTCTCAGGCTCTGATCATTTTTTCTATGCTAGTAAAGTGTTAAGGCCATGGCATATCAGGTCTGGTGTCAAGACCCTTACCTAGGGTACATGTAAAAAATAATGGAGAAAGTAAAGGCATATATCCAGAGCAGACACAACTTGATTCTGAATGAAGAGTGCTCTCGAACTTCAATAAATAACCTCTTTGTTGTGCACTTGTGCTTTATAGCATTTGCTGATTTCTGTGATGAAAACACTCTCATCAAGGTTAATTTCAAGCTACCAATGTAGTATCACTAAAAGGGATTTGAGTTGGGAAGACATATGCAGAAGTACACCATGCATTTCCACCAGACAGACACAATGGATTAAAAAAAAAATCCAGAGCATAGATACTAGTAAAATGTACTAAAAAAGAAGCGATGGATTTTGAGTATTACTTTTGCTTTTAACATTGTGTAAGTTTATGCAATTTAAATTTAAAGAGTATCTGTATTTAAAAACTAGCTCACAAATCTACCAAACATTTAATCAGCTCTTGTAATCAAGTGTGAAATATTGCAAAGGGCCTCCAGCACAGCACCTGGTGAGGGCAATGCCAGGGATTGGTGTAGGCTCACCTAAGGTGAAGACTGCAAGAAAACTGAAGGCGGGATCCTTACTTATTTCTCTATCTCCAACACTTATCGCCAGGTTGTGCAATGGTCAAAGTAATTCATTAATTCGATATTCAATATTTTTCGCTTCCGCTGTCTTCTGGGTAGTTTTAGGTGTTTCGAAGTTCTGCAACACAAATCAAAGCTCTACCTTCAGAAGAGTTTTTTAATTGTTGTGAGTGTGTGTATGTGTGTGTGTGATGTCAAGTGGTTGGTGATGAGTGTTATGGCTAAAAGTTCTGTAGCGCAAAGGAGAAAAGGAATAGGGTGTAGTAAATGTTGAAATGTATGAAGGTAAAGATGGCACGTTCTGGAATCTGACAGACTGAGAAAGGCTGAAGCGCAGATTCTGCATAGATCTCTGCCAACCAACGGCACTAGAACACAGAGCAACTCAGGACATTTCCTTACTTGAGAAACTCGTGCACTTCGGTCTCCTCACTTCTTCCACACAAGGGCATAGTCCTTGAAGTCTCAGTCTAGTCTCAGAAACCCTGGTTTAAGGAGACCAATCAGTTGTAGCGAGGCAGGGTTAACTTCAGTACCGCCTTTTCCTCGGTCTGAAGCCGGCTAAACGCACAGACTCACTGCGCATGCTCAAATACTGAGGCTGCTTCCTGGAGCCCGAGCGAATGTAGTCTGCGCATGTGCAAGAGTGGGACGCGTTGGTTTCTGCTTTTACGTGTTTTGACCTTAGGTCCTGCCGTACCGTCCAGGTGGCGAGTTACTTTGTGGTTCCGTTGTGTGTGTGCGGTGAGCTGACTGTGCTCCACTTTATCCGCGGGCGCTAGAGCCACCATGAACCGCTACACCTTCGCGGCGGGCGAGCGGCTGGTGTCGCCAGCTTACGTGCGACAGGGCTGTGAGGCCCGCCGCACGCATGAGCACCTCGTACTGCAACTTCTGGAGAAGGTACCGAGGTGTTCCCTCCCCAGCCGCCGCGGCCCCGAGGCTCCGCCCAGCACCCCGGCTTAGCCCTGGGTCCTCGGGCGCTTCTGTGTGCTGTTTGAGACTGTGGCTCCAGACAGTCGCACCTGGGCTCGTATTTCTTTCGCAGATTCGCCAAAGCTGGGGAAACCCAGAGGGTGTTCTTAGGGGTTGGGGTTTGGAGTCTCCTCTCCATCTTTGGATTGTAGAAATGAGGTGAAGTTCACTGCTGGCTTACTTTAGTTTGCTGAAAGGTTAAGGTTCCTATCTTCACAGCTCCCCGGTAGTCAAGGAACTCGAGACGTAAACCACGGTGAATCAACCTGAACCCTTGTTTCCTCCGAACTTCACAGGTCTTCCTCCTGCCAGCCCTCCTGTTAATTTCACTGCCGTTTGACCACCCCTGGTTAGAACACCTTGAATCTTCACCTTGGCTGTGGTGTTTCTCTCACTTAATGAAATTTAAAAATCCAAGTAAACCTTAGCGAATGCTTTTATTCCCATGCCTCGCAATTTGCAGCTAGTTATAATCAAAGGTAATGAGAATGTCTCAGTTTCTTCATAGTGCTGAATTTGTGTGCGACTTTTAAAAAACAAGGAGCATGGCAGGATACACATTTTAATAGTTTTTAAATATATCGACGTAGGATTTTCTTGTATATAATTATAAACTTTTGTTTTTTCCTTTAAAGGGCAAGTGTCCAGAGGATGGTTGGGATGAAAGTACGCTTGAGCTCTTTTTACATGAACTTGCAATCATGGATAGCAACAATTTCTTGGGCAATTGTGGTGTGGGAGAAAGGGAAGGGAGAGTGGCATCTGCATTAGTTGCTCGACGTCATTACAGGTATTTTTTTTTCAAGGAAACGTGAAAACATTTTTTTTTTCCTTTGGGGGTAAAATAATGGTGACATTCATCTTGCTGATAAAATTGTCTGTTTACATGGGCATGTAAACCAAATACAGGTGCTTTTCAGATACAATAGAGTACAAGGTCTACTACGTGCTGATAACCCTGTGAGCTTCTGGGAGGTTAACAGCGCAGGCTGTATGTTCTGTTAAGAATAAGGACCAAAATGTATGATAGATATTGTGAAATAGGAAGAAAATGTTCAAATGAGGAGGGAAACAAGGGAAGGGGGAGTGGGAAAGGAAGGAAGGGAAAAGAAAAAAAATGAGAAAAGAAAGATAAAATGGAAGCAAAGTTCTTGTAAATAAAGGACAGAAGGTAAGGGGGAGGGGAATGGAAGAAAATAAGAATCAAGATATATCATGTACAGGTACAAATTTCATACGATGAAGGTTATCATTATATCTAAATTGTACCAATAAACTTAGTTAATGATGAAAAATAAAGTTGAATGAAATAAAGGGCAATACAAATATTGGGGGTAAGATTATAAGCCAAGTGTTCAAGACTACAATAAAATATAGAGACTTGGAAAAAAACCCCAGAATGTTTAACCTAAAAAACCTGTTTGGTTGAAAAAGTTTAAAATACACATATTTTTTTTTTGTTAAATTTATTGGTACATTTTAGGTATACAATACAGTTACATTCATCATTGTACCTTTACATGATGTTTCTTGGTTCTTATTTTTTCCCCATTCCCCTGCCCTCCCTTCCCTATTTACAAAGACTTTGTTTCCATTTTTTCCTTTCTCACGTCTTTTTCTTTTCCCTTCTTTCCTTTCCCCTACTCTTCCTGCTTCCCCTACTCCTTTAGACTTTAAAAAAATATATTATTGTTGCTTATAGTTTTTGATATATTTTTTCTAATATTACAAACCCCCTCCCCCCTTTCTCCTCTGTACTAGAGATTGAACCCAGGGCCTCATGCATACTAACAAGTACTCTACTTATGCCCCAGCCCACATTGAAGTTTTTCTTGGAGAATGATTTATAGTTAAAATTTTAATAAAACACTGTTCATCTGTATCTAAGCAGAGTCCTGTTTTATATGTACCTCTTTTTCTTGTGATAGATATAGGAAACATATTGTTAAGTCACATTTTTCTTTTGCGTTATTTCAGAAAGCTTTCCATCAATTCTACTAACATTTTAGTTACAGTAGACATAGGAAAGGTGTATTAGATTATTAAGTCACTTTTTTCTTTTATATTAGAAAGCTTTTTATCAATTCTGATTACCATTTACTTATTCATTGATAATAGTTCTAAATATGATCATTTATTTCTTTGTCTTCTGGTGAGATATAAATTTCTTAAATACTCTTAAATTTCTGAAATTTTCCTAGGCATAATTGAAACCACTGCAGTCAAAACTAATGATAATGAATGTATAAATTGGTTAAAGATTCAGTGTTTAACAATAGGCTGGTATCATAGTTGATAACTTTTTTTTTTGGTACTGGGGATCGAACTCAGGTCCTTGAGCTTGTGAGGCAGGTGGCGGCACCACTGAGCTAAATCTCCGGCAATAATATGTTTTAAAAATGGTTTGTTCATGAGGTTTTAGTGGTAAGGAAGTGTAACCTAGTGTTCTGTGATAATCCCATTATATAGAATTTCAGGTTTATTTTACTATAAATAAATTATAGATTATTTCAGATTACAAAGGGCTTTTTGGTTTGAAACAGTTAAGGTATACTTAGGTAATGTATAACACTGTTACTTTAAAGTGAGTGAATTTGCACATTAATTTTCATGAAGTATATAGTTCTTTAAATATTAGTGCATTTTTTTTTTTTTGGTACCGGGGATCGAACTCAGGACCTTGCACTTGTGAGGCAGGCAGCAGAACCACTGAGCTAGATCCTCAGCCCTAGTGCATTTTTTAAAACATCAGCTCATCCTCATGGGAATTTAGCCCACTGCCCTGGTCAGGGGAAAAAGAAAGAACAAAATTTAATGTTGTCTATATTTCAATTTTCTATTGTTGCATAGCAAACCTCCCCAGAACTTAATGGCTTAAAAAATAATTTATGAGATATTGAAAAATACAGTGAATGTATAAATTTTTAAAAAATGTATTACAGTAAAAGATACATTCCCATTAACTTCCCTCAAAATCCCCCCCTTTGCTTCAAACCCACTTAGCCCATTGTTCTTCCACCGAACAGTGTTGGAAGTACTCTTTTTTTTTTTTTTGGTACTGGGGATCGAACTCGGGACCTTGTGCTTGCAAGGCAGGTGCTGGAACCAGAGCTAAATTCTTGGCCCTGGAAGTCTTCTTTTATAAGTGTCTTTAGTTGTGTTGTCATGGCTGTCTCGATGTCCTGAATTGATTGAAAACATTTACCTTTCATTGTCACTTTGCTTTTGGGCAAGATCTAGAGAATAAGGTGAAGACGCACCATAATATGTTTATGAGCCTGCCTTTCACTTGGGTTATACTCAGCAGCAACATTCACTGTATTTTTGGTCATACTGTATAAAGACACTCACAAAAAAGGACTTCTAGAACAGCTCTAGAAAGGGGCAAAAATGATGGAATAAGTGTGTTAAAAGCAAGAAGGAATACTTTGAGGGGTATTAATGGCAATGTGTCTTTTACTCTAATAATTTTTAAAAATTTAAGCATTCTGTGTTTTGATCACGGCTTGTATTACTGTTTCTCATGGTTGTGTGTGTTAAGTGGGCTCAGCAGGGTGTATTGTTTTGGGTTTCTGGTGTAATTGTGGTCACATTTAGTCACATGCAGGTTCAAGTGGGCAGTTTATTCAAGATGACCAACTAACATGCCCAGCAGCTTAGAGGGCCTTGCTCTTTGGCATGGGCCTTTGAAGAGCTTGTGAAAACTTTAGGGCTTCTTGGGACCTAGCGTAGAGGTTCTAGACAGTCGCTTTGTTACGTTCTTCTTGGCCAAGCAAGTCACTAAGGCCAGCCCAGATTCAGTTGGAGAGGAATTAGACTGCAACTCATGGTGTGGGCCTAGAGGAAAAAAAGGAATTGAAGGCTGCTGTCTCTGGACCACGGCATAATTGATGATGCCATTTGAATTTAAATAGGATATTTTCACATTATTAATAGTTGAAGAAGTATATATAAAACAGCCAAATAGCGTCTCTGGTGTTATTTTGGTAGTTGTGTTTGCATAGTTGTATGTTTTGATTACTTACAACACTGAATGCATTTGCTAGTTTTTGGCCCTTTTTTTGCTTAGGCTCATTCATGGCATTGGACGGTCTGGTGATATTTCTGCTGTGCAGCCGAAAGCCGCAGGCTCGAGCCTTTTGAACAAAATTACCAATTCTTTGGTCCTGGACATCATAAAGTTGGCTGGTATGTTCCATATTAATCATAATATGTAATATTTGGTGACCATACAACACATCTTTGCCCAATTTCTTCTTTCTCTCTTTTCTTTTTGCTTTTGTTTTCTTGAGACAGGATTATGCTATGTAGTCCAGGATGGGCTTGAACTCATGGCAGTCTTCCTGGCTCAGCCTCCCGAGTGCTAGGATTATAGGCATGTGCCATCATGCCCGAAGCTCTAATTTCTATTAATGCTTCTTTCTAAGAAGATGAGTGGCTCTTTTAAAGGACACACATATAGAATAATTAGAGCAAAACAGGATGTAGTAAAATGAATACACATAAGCCACAAGCCCAGAGTGAATCTCTTGAGAATGAGTACAGAAAAAGAAATGTTTGGGCTGTAACTTTTATTATTTGATAAAATCTTTTATCATTTCTCCAAGAATGGTGATTTTTTAAATGGGATTACTAATTTATATTTTCTTATTCATAGGTGTTCCTGCAGTGGCAAATTGCTTTGTAGTTCCTATGGCGACTGGTATGAGTCTAACCCTGTGTTTTTTAACGTTAAGACACAAAAGACCAAAAGCAAAGTATATCATATGGCCACGAATAGACCAGAAGTCCTGCTTTAAATCCATGATCACTGCAGGTAAAAGAAGACAAGTACCACATGTAGTATTTTTGATATCCCAGTATGAGAAAATTCAAATTTTTTATAGAGATAGCTAAATCTGTTTCTTATTCATTTTTTAAAAAATTGTGGTAAAGCATATATGATATAAAATTCAGTGCATGTATTGTTTTATCCAACTTTTAAGTTTATAGGTATTTAAATATTTATTGTTAAAGGTTACAAAATTATTACATGTGGGGAGATACTTAACTACGAGCTAGTTAAGTGTACTACTTCAGTTGGAGACAAGTAATCCTCAGGCTACTGAAATTAAAGATTTCTTCAGAGGTAAAACATTAAGTTCATGATTGTGATTTGTTTCAATATTTGAATTATATTATTGTTTATAATCATCTCTGAAATAAAGCGAGCTCTAAGATAAAACTGAAATATTGCCAGAAAATGAGCAAACTTAAATTTCTGTGGACTGAAAGTGAAATGGATTCGTCATCCTTTTTGTTATCAATGTCTGTATTATCTCTGTAGATAATCTATTTAATTTCTGTTTTCCTTACTTTCCAGATTTTTTGTCATATTGCAGTATTAAAAAGAGCTGTGGTCTGAGTCTTCAAGTTGTCCTTCACATTGTTTTGACTGCCTTGACTAATGCGAGTACACTGAGCTGGGTCTTCTTTACTAGAGGAAGGCTCATCCCAACAAATGTTTAAAGTTCTCGTGTGGAATAGCACCGCTTCCTAGAATTCCCTGATTTTCCCTTATTTTGGTTCCCTTCTTTTAGTGACATTTAAATTTCTGCTTGGCTTGACTAGGTTTTGAACCCGTGGTGATAGAAAACTTTTTAGAAGGGGATGAGCTGCGCACAGATCTGAAAGCAGTGGAGGCCAAAGTTCAGGAACTGGGGCCTGACTCCATTCTGTGTGTTCACTCTACTACATCCTGCATCGCTCCACGAGTGCCTGATAAGTAAGTGATTTGTGAATAGTGAATCATCACTAGGGTTCATCGGTCTTTTAAATAAAATGTGATACACTAATTCCCAGATATGCTTACATAGTATTTGGTAGTAAATAGTGAGTGCACTGCTCTAAGAGAGCAGACTGGCCTTGTGGAGAAATGGCATAGTGGGAAAATAAATATTTGGTGGAGAAGAAGGGAAAATAACCTACAGGGAGGTGGTGATCCCATTACAGCTGAATAGATGCAAACTGTTTTCTTGCTCTTTATCCTGTTTCCAGTCTCTGAGCATCTTTTTCATTTAATGGAAAATTTCTTTTCTCAGTTAAATACTGGGCTTAGTTGTTTTCCATTGATTACTGTCTTCACTGTAATTTTTCATATGTAGGAATCATCAGTATTGGCAGGTTTTAAATAGAAATCTTTAGGATTATTTACTTTCCTTTGAATTTCATTTAAATAGAAGATTAACTCAGATGTTTACAGTGGTTTTCTGCATTTTGAAGATAATATAAATATTTAAGAAAATAAAAATAAAAGGGGAAAAAAAGCCAATGTTTGCTTTTCTAAAGGATAGGCATAGATTTTTATTCTGAAAATATAATAGGGCCTAAGTCTCTTAAAGCAATTTCTGTATTTGACAGCAACACTGATTTTCTTTTAACATTTTGAATATATTGGATTTATAGTTTTCTCGTGTCAATTATGTTTTGGTTTTCATAGAATTGTATTGTTTGGCAATAATGAATCCATATTAACTTTTATTACAGGCAGATTTTAAGAGGTAATTTAAAAATCATGCTCTTGAAAATTTTAACTTGCTACATTTATAAGTCTGTAAATTCTGTAAAATTTAGGATTTTATTTCTTTTATTTTGTATATTTTATATATGATTTTTTCATTACTTACCAGTCATTTACAATTTGTATTAAATATGTTTCTTCTTTGATTTTGATATATAGAAAAATTTTAACATACTAGAAATAAATCACATTTCCAGTAACAGTGTGGTTATTTGTATTAGTTGGATTATTTATCCTTGGGAAAGTTTTATTTTGACTAATTTTTTCAGTGTTTATAGTATGTTTGGTATATGTACTGTCTCCATTAGAAAATAACCAGGCTTTCTTTTTTCTTCTTTTGAGATGGGTTCTCATTATGCAGTTCAGGCTGACCTTGAGCTCTCCATTAAGCCTAGGCTAGCCTCAACTCACATCCTCTTGCCTCAGCCTCCTGAGTGCTGGGATCATAGGTGTGTGCCATCATGCTCAGCCTAAATAGGCTTTTTATCAGTCAGCAGAATTCTTATTTTTCACTTTTTTTTTTGGTACTGGGGATCGAACTCGGGACCTCACGCTTGCGAGGCAGGCGGCTGCACCACTGAGCTAAATCCCCAGCCCATCATTTTTCACTTTTTAGCAGTGCTAGGTAATGGATGTTTTTGATAAGAGTGAAGTTTAGGAAACTGGTGATGTACTGTTAGTAATAAGTTTCATTTTCTGACTTTCTTAAATTTAAAAACTACATTTGTTTTCTTGGCACCAATAATTCCTTCATAATCTTTATTTTAGTGAACATAGTACATATTTTGTCTTTATTAGATAATTAGTTGTACAGAGAGGAGAACTCTCCTTGAATGTTAAGAGTGTCATTTTTTCTAAATGATACCTTAAGTTAGCTTCTAAATTAGAATATAATTTAATTCACATGGAAAATAATTTTCTGCTTGTCTTTTGCTTTTTAATATCTTTTTAAACATTCTATTAACATAATTGGTCAATTCAAATTATTTAAAACTACTCACAAGTGATTTTTTAAAAAATGAACTTTAACATTATTATGGTACCTTATTTTTTAAAGTAGTTCTTTTTTAAGGAATAATGTCATTAGGTCACACACGTGAAAGTGCCTTTTAGGAAGAAAATGTGTTTGTGTGTGTGTGTATCCCAGATTAATTTTGCTGCAGACATCATCTGATTATTGACAAAAGAAATTTCTGTATTGATTTGTAAGGCTGAATGATAAAACGAGTTTTTAAATCCATAAAACTTCAAGGAAATGGATTAAAAACTTCTGACAGATGAACACAATAATCCATTTCCCATTTATAGTTTGAAAACATTAATTCACATCTACTGAAAAATAAACTGTATCTTGCCTAATTTGGCAATAAAAACATAAAGTGTATTTGAAATACATCCTTTTGGAGAAGAACTTTCATCATATAAAAATTATTTCCTGGGCTGGGGATTTAGCTCAGTGGTTCAGGTGCCTGCCTCGCAAGCGCAAGGTCCCGAGTTCGATCCCCGGTACCAAAAAAATAAAAAATTATTTCCTTCCAGGTTTTATATTGTAAAGAAAACTTTTAAGAAGTTATTAAACCATTGGATTTAGTTTTAGTTTCATAGCGTGAAGACATTTCTATTACAGTCACTCAGTCATAAGGAGTATTTTGTTTCGTGCAGGAACCTTTATTTATGTATTATGTTGTACCTGAGATTTATTACCTTACTTTGCATAATGTTAAGACTCAAATTGTCTTAATAGGAGAGGTATAAAGTGAAGAAATAATAGTGAATAAGTGTAGATTTAAAACTAGCAGCTGTTTAAGATTCTTTAGTATCCAGGTTGTTGTAAAATGTGTTACTTTGATACTGAAGCATTTTAATGTTTTGTGTTTTTAGTACATTAGTCTATTTGAAACTACGTTTTTTAATTTTATGAGGTGTTTAATGTTAGATTTAAGATCTCCAGATACACTAATTGTTTTGAAGCTACTAGCTTCAGTATGATAAGCAACCAAAGGCGTTAAAAAAAGAGCATCCCAGTCACACACAAGTTTAAATATTGCATTGTTTCTCTTGTGTGAGAAACCCAAAGGGTAAATATGAAGCAAAATGGAAGAAATCGAGGAGCGGGAAGAACATGTTCAAATGGAAAGGAAAACAAAGGAAGGGGAAGGACTAGGGAGAAAGGAAGGAAGGGAAAAGGAATTTTAAAAAAAGAAAATGGAGGGCCAGGATTTAGCTCAGTGGTTCCACCACCTGCCTCGCAAGGGCAAGATCTCGAGTTCTGTCCCCGGTACCCAAAAAAAAGAGAATGGAAGGGAAAAAAGGGAAACAGAGCTTTTGTAAATGAGAGGAATAATGGTTGAAGGGAGGGAGGGAAATGAGAAAAAAAGAATTAGGACATGTTATGTACAGGTACAAATTCCCTATGATGAATGTGATCATTATGTATGGTAAACATATACTAATAAAAATTTTAAAAAATAAATTGATTCAGTTCCAAAAAAAAAAAAAAAAAAGAGCATCCCACCCTGTGAGGAGTCATTATAAATAATCTCCTTCTGGCTTTGATAATAGGTTTTGAAATAGTTTAAGTTACTATATACAATTTTATAAATAAAAATGTGTTTTTTCATTTATTGGTAATATTAATTTATAAGCTTTTTAGATTTCCCTCAGGTGCTTGCTATATAGTTCCGAGCTGATGAATTATATGCTAAGATCCTACAGACAACTAAACTAAAATTTTAGTTTGTCATGTCTGTCCCCCCACGTACATTACGGTTGACTCTTACATTTCTTAAAAACAGTTCTCACATTGTAATTTGCAAAGCACAGCATGAGTGTGTCTTTCTGTTGAATATTTATGTTTATAGAATAGAAGAACTGGCTGTGATTTGTGCTAATTATGGCATTCCACATATAGTCAACAATGCTTACGGAGTACAGTCTTCAAAGTGCATGCACCTCATTCAGCAGGTAAGAGTTTAAAAAGATGCCAAAAAAAGTAGATTTTAACATATTTTGAGATTACTTTTCTCACAGCCTAATGTGGTAAAAATAGTTATCCAGCATTTTCTATTTCAGGGAGTGTTAGAAACTTGCATCCAATGCTCTCACAGTAAAAGTCATTAATGACTCCTTGGAATTATGGAGATATTGGTAATAGTTTTGGTAGACCAGAATCAACATAGTAATATTTCAGTAGATTTTAATTTTCTGAGACTGTTTCATTAGCAGGATCGTCACCTTTATAAAGTAGATTATAGTATTTTTAAAACTGTATTATTTTATTCTGTATTTAAGAAATTATTTTACCTTATCCTAGACTGGAAAGGACTTTATAAACATTGTAACATCTGACTATGGAGTTGGCAAGCTTTTTTCTGTTCTGTAAGCATCAGCTAGGTCCTGGTCATTTCTTCTAGGTCTAATTTTGAAAATTTGCTGTGGCCTGCAAGGCATTGTGTGCTGAGATCACTGCTGCTTCTCTGGGTTTCTTTCCCACCGTATCATCTGCTCTGCTCCAGCCTCTCTCGCTGCCTTTTCTGTGTCTCTGTCACCCACAGCTGCGCAGACCTCCAGGCCTTTGCTCTCAGTGTCTTTGCTCACCTTTCCTGCTGTTTTGTTCTTGTGGAGCGTGGCGTGGCTTCTTCCCTGACTGAGACTTTCCCAGACACCTTGTCTAGAGTAACCCCCCTCTTCTCGCTAGTCTTTCCTTTTGGGTTTTACCATATTGGGTCTTAGGGGACCCCATTTTTCACATTATGACATCACTGAAATTCGAATGTCTTACAATAGGTGATGTCTTACATTGTTAACTGGCAGTATTTTTCCTTACCTGCAGATAATGATGCTTCTTAATATTTATGGCCCCTTGCTCCCCGCCCCCCCCCCCCCGCCCTGGTCAAACTCAGGACCTTGTGCTTGCTAGGAATACTTGGTGCTGCTGAGCTATACCCCCGGCCCTGACCCCTTGCTTTTTATCTCCATGGTATTTAGTTATTGACAGTCGGTAGGGTTAAGGTTCTATTAGAGCTAGAGCTTTTTATTTATTCACTGTTAGCCTCTCAATACTTAGGACAGTACCTAAGACATAATTGACACTTAATAAACTGGTTACTGAATGAAATGAGTAAATAAGTGAAATATTATATTTATTTACCTGTGTATGATATAGGCATTGTGTACACATTGATGTTAATATATACATTCAGTTTGGGCATATGTAATTTTTGTTATGTGGACTTAAGTTATTCAGAGATCATCTGTGAACATACTGAAGCCTAGTAGAACCTATTTAGTGAGTGTTACTTGTATCATTTTCCGTGTAATAATTTCATCTTTGATATGTGTGGTTATATGACATTAACAGCTGATATACTTAATTTTTTTCTCAGAATTTGTATCAGTCAGGATGTTATTGACTGCAAGTGACAGAAATTTAACTCAGATTGATTTAACCAATAGGAAAATTGATTAATTTATGTAACCTAAGTCCAGAGATGGAGTGGGTTATAGGCCTGGTATGTTGGAATTTCTTAAAATCTCTAAAGACTGCTCACCATTTCCTTGGTATCCTTTTCATTATTCCTTAACTTTTTAAGGCTTCCTCACAATTTGAGACTAGATTATACCTAATTTGTATGGTAGCCAAGGAAGAGTGTACAGTTTTATACTGGAAATCTTAAAAATTTTCATTTCAGTTTTTTTTTATTGTTTCTTCACCTTGCTCTTCTCTTCCTCTTTAATTTTTAGTAGTCTTAGCTCTTTTGAAATGCAAGTATATTAGCATTACTGAAAGTTTAAAAAAGTAAAGATGAAGATTATTACCCTACCAGATGCCTTTAATGATTTATGTAGCCACATTTTCTTTTTTTAACATATTCCCCCTGGCTTGAACCACTGGTGGTACATGCATGACGCACCATCAAGCAGCTTGCACCTTTGGTGGTGCAAACGGCTCTAATTACTTTCATCACTCTTTTTACTAAAAAAATTAATAAAAAGCCACTCAATGGGACAGTCATGCATGTACCACTAGTGGTTCAAGCCACCCAGCAGCGAAACACAAGTTACAGCCCCCATTGTGAACGTGTTAAATGCATGCATTATTTTTACATAGTTACAGTGACTGTATACAGTTAACATTAAATGTTTTAAACTCTCGCACTCGCTTCGGCAGCCCATATACTAAAACATTTTAAACTCTCTGCATGCCTATAAAGTCTTCATAATGATCTTTTTAATATTTGTTGACAATTACTGAGCCATCACTTAATCTAGAAGTTCCCAGTATTTGGATGCTCACGACATATTTTGGAATACTAGACAATTCGGTGGCATAGTTGAAGACATTAAGACTGAACCAGAAGAGCTCCAGCATATGATACAAAAGGTGCCCTTAGATTTGCGATGATAGTATCTCGCTTCATCATCACCTCTCTATGTCCATGAGGTGTTTTACTAACATTTTAACTAGAAAAATAAAACTGTAGGGTGAGTGAATGAATTTTTAAAGGCCTATTTTGCTACATATATTCTGTTACCTTCTAAAACTGGCATGTCTGAAAAAGGAAAAGAAGCAATATAAAAACATTGTTTTCCTCACATTGGCCTTCATGAAAAGAAGATATGGCACGGTTGCTTTAAACCAAATAAATACATTGGTCTTGTTGAATGCCGGTTGCTGTTTCTAAGTAATTAAAGTCACCCTAACTTATGGTGTAGTTCTTACTGGTAATAGGTAGCGTTTACTGAGTACCAACCATGTGTGGTAGGCATCCTGCTAGGCTTTTAAAGTTTCTTAACTTAGATCACCCCGCTGCAGACAGGCAGGTCTGCCCATGACCTACCAAGGTCCTGAGTCGTGCGGAAGACACCGAGTCACCCCGCTGCAGACAGGCAGGTTTCCCCACGCCCAACCTAGGTCCTGAGTTGCACGGAACATGCCGAATCAGCCCTCTGCAGACAGGCAGGTCTGCCCACGCCCTACCAAGGTCCTGAGTCGTGCGGAAGACGCCGAATCACCCCGCTGCAGACAGGCAGGTCTGTCCACGCACTACGGAGGTCCCCAGTCACGCAGAATAAGCCAAATCAGCCCTCTGCAGACAGACAGGTCTGTGCATGCCCTACCGAGGTCCCGAGTC